TTTTTTGGTACTGGGGATCGAACTCGGCTCCTTGTGCTTGCACAACAGGCAGCGAAACTACTGAGCTAAATCCCCAGCCCTATTTTATATTTCTTAGCAAAACATTTATTGGTACATTTTTAGATACACATAATGTTAACATTCATTTAGGGAATTTGTTCCAGTGCATGATGTATCTTGCTTCTTCTTTTTTTCCCTTATTCCACCTCCCCCCTCATGTACAAAAGCTTTGTTTCCATTTTTTCCTTTGAAAATCAGATATTTGTTATAATGTATATTATTAAGACATGGGAGGAAGGGGAGGGAAAGGGGATGAAAAAAGGAATTAAGATGTATAGGCTACAGTATTTAGTTTTTTTTAAGAACTTATTTTTATAAAAGGTTTTTTAAAAAAATGAGCATGTACTAATAATGAATTAAGAGTTTAAAGAAACTGATTTTTTTTGTTTGTTTGTTTGGGGTTTTTTTGGTACCGGAGATCGAACTCGGGTCCTTGTGCTTGCGAGGCATAAAGAAACTAATTTTAAAAATGTTTATGCAAGTGATTGCTGATGTCATCTTCCCTTCCAAGATTCAGAATACTTTTAAGCAGATGTTGTTCCCTGGACAAAGACAAATGGTTCATTGGGTTTCATAGCCAAATTATTTGCCAATGAGTGTGGCTGATAGGCTGTTTTTCAGACTATTTCCAGCTATTTTATAAGCTAGATATATCTGGAATGGAGGCTGATTTTAAACCTATACAAGTTTCCACATGAAAGAATATAAAACATTGTATACAGGGGTAGAGGTGGACCTATATTTTTGACTTGTTACTTTTAATTATTTTGCATATTGTACATTTTATGTGTATTGCAAAGTCATTTTCTTTTTTTTTGGTACCGGGGATCGAACTGGGGTCCTTGCGCTTGCGCAGCGGGCGGCAAAACCACTGAGCTAAATCCCCAGCCCTGCAAAGTCATTTTCTTAATAGTCTCCCTCGCTCCCTCCCTCCCTCCCTTTCTTGGCAGTACCAAGGATTGAACCTAGAGCTAAGTATGTGCCCTAGCATTGAGCTATCTTCTCCAGTCCAGAAAAAGTATTTCTAAGGAAAGAAATTGCCTGGCATGATGCATGGCTGTAATCCCAGTACTTGGAAGGCCTAGGCAGGATTGCTGCAAGATCAAGGCAGCCTGGGCTATGTAGTGAGTTCAAGGCCAGCCTGAACCACACAGCAAGACCCTGCCTCAAACAGAGCAAAACCCTGTACTTGCAGAACTGTATCTAGCACTTACTTTGTATAAGGTACTGTGCTAAGTACCTTGACAGATGAAGTATATACAAGTCAAATGCATTCTTGTTTTCAGGAACTTCGATCTACTCTAAATATAAAATTGAATGGCAAGTGCTATAGGAAAGATATAAACAAAGCACTGAGACTTTAGAAACACAAAAATATGTATGATAGGTGGAAATTGGGAAAGAATTCATAAGAATTGGGACATTGAGTGATTTACATTGTTAGGCATAAAAGTTTATGTGTTTCAGAAATTAGATTATTCAGGGCAGAAAGAGTAAATTGTGCAGAGGAGAATTAGAAATGAGAAAATGGTGGGGATTTAGCTCAGTGGTTCTGCCACCTGCCTCCCAAGCTCAAGGACCCAAGTTCAATCCCCGGTACCAAAAAAAAAAAAAGAAATGAGAAAATTGTAGAGTGAAGGAAAATACTAAAATAATGAATGTTAAACATCTAGCACAGTACATGGCATATTGTAAGTACTCATCAAACTTTTTGCTTCTAATTCAAATATGTTTACCCGAAGGAGTGTTTTCAAGTTATCAAAACAAACAAAAACCTAAGTTTTAGGTTGATTTGAGAAAGTAAGTATATTGTCTAGATGATTTTCTAAATTGTAAATATGGTTGTAAAACTAAAGTAGAGTAGGAATCAGTCAGTACTTTAGGTTAATCTGAAGCAAGTTTCTGAACCATTTCTCTCCTCAGAAATTGACCTGTTGAGAAACGTGATACAAATACTGGGAAAAACCTGCTCTTCTACACAAAGGGTAGGACAATGTCACAAGTTAAAAACTCTTACTCCTTTGATGCTCCCTCGGACTTCATCAATTTTACATCTTTGGATTATGAGGAAGATACAGAAAATGTAGATTCATGGTTCGGTAAGTATCTGCTTTCTCTGGCCCTTTTAGGGTTATGCTAAGAATCTTTTACAAATAGAAAGGCTTGCAAGAAAATAACTGGGACATAACTTTTGTTCTGTACCAAGAAATCTTGTCATCTATAGAAATAGTTGACTTTTGAAATACATGGATTTGAAGTTTATGTGGGTTTTTTTTTTTGATTTGTGATAATTTGAAAGAATTCAGCTGAACTGCAATAGCCTAGAAATATCAAAAAAATTAATACCTTAGGTATGTCATGAGTACATAAAATATATGTAGACAATAGTCTTATTTTATCATTTACTACCATAAGACATACAAGGATCTATTATAAAAGTTAAAGGCTGGGGGGGGGTGGTTTACACGCCTGTAATCTCAGTACTTGGGAGGCCGAGGCAGTGAGTTTGAGGCCAGCGTGGGCTACAAAATGAGACCCTGTCTTTAAAATAAAAACAAAACAGGGGCAGGGATTTAGCTCAGTGGCACTGTGCTTGCCTTGTAAGCACAAGGTCCTGAGTTCAATCCCCAGTACTGAAAAAAAAACAACAACACCATAACAGAAAACAACAAAAAAGCTAAAATTTACCCAAACTTATGTACGTGGTGTTATATGCAGAGAGAAATGTAAATAAATGCGAAGATGCAGTTTTAAGTCATAACTGTAAAATTAACTGGTATAATAATTGTGTAGTTAGCTTGTGTTTTGAAGAGCCAAAAGTTCTCTGCAGATTTTCAACTTGTGTGAGTCAGTGCTATAACTTCTGAGTTATTCAAGGGTCAGCTGTAATTGAAATGCCCTCTCGTGCCTGCCTCACAAGCATGAAGTCCTGAGTTCGATCTCCGGTATTTTGGAAATGGACCCTTAAGTACAAATTAATGTTATTTTGCAATTTAGTGTGACAGGTTTTTGGACATATGAGAAAATCCGGATGAAACAGTGTTTAGTGAAACTCCAGGACTCAAACATGTCTGTAGTGGTGGCAGCCACCTAAAAACTTGCTCTATTATCATTTGGGTATAGAGTATAATATTACAACTAGAATATTGACAATGATACAAATTGTCACTGTCACTCACATTTCTCCAGTTTTACTTGTATTCTTTTTCTTTTTTGTGTATTTGTATCTGTATTAAGTTCTTTGTGATTTTAAAATTTTTTTTAAATTAAAAATATTTTTTTTTACTTTTTTGGTACCAGGGATCGAACTCGGGACCTGTGCTTGTGAGGCAGGTGGCAGCACCACTGAGCTAAATCTCCAGCCCTTGATTTTTTATTTTTTGAGGCAGGGTCTTACTATGTAGTTTAGGCAGGCCGGCTTTGAACTCACTATGTAGCCCAGGCTGGCCTGGAATTCATGGTGATTCTCCTGCGTCACCCTCCTAAGTGCTGGAATTACAGGCATGCACCACCATCCCCAGCCAAATTCTTTGCAGTTATATCACCTATGTTGTTGTTGTTTTTTGGTACCGGGATCCAACTCAGCACCCTGCGCTTTTGAGGCAGGCACTGGAACCACTGAGCTAAATCCCCAGCCCTGTTATAAGGTTTGCATATCTCAGTCAAGATATATTGCATAGTTTTAGCATCACAAAGATCCTGTTTTGCCTCTCTCCCTCTCTCCCTCTCTCTCTCTCTCCCCCACCGCCGCCCTCCCTCTCTCTCTTTCTCTTTCTCTCTCTTTCTCTTTCTTTCTTCTTTCTTCTTTCTTCTTTCTCGTACCAGTGATCAAACTCAAGACCTCACGCTTGCAAAGCTGCGGCAGAACCACTGAGCTAAATCCCTGGCTCTATTTTTCTTTCTTTCTTTCTTTTTGAAACCAGAATCTCATTATGCCTTGCCATGTTGTTATGCATAGGTTGGCCTTGTATTCGCAAGCTTAAGAGATCCTCCTACCATAGCTTCCTGAGTAGCTAGGACTGCAAGTGTGCACCACTATGCCTGGCTTGTTTCCTATTTATTTATTTGAGACATGGTCTTGCTATGTATTCCAAACTGGCCTTGAACTCACTGTGTATCCCAGGCTGACCTCAAACTCATGGCAATCCTCCTGATTCAGCTTCCCAAGTGTTGGGAGTATGGGCACATGCCATCCCACGTGGCACTTGTTGCCCTTTTACAGCTACATTCACCACCACCACCCCCAATCGTCCTCTTCTTTTTTTTAATTTCTCGAGACAGGTCTTACTGTGTAGTCCAAGCTGGCCTTGAACTCACTATGGTAGCCCAGGCTGGCCTTGAATTTGTGACTTGCTGTGTCAGCCTCCCAAATGCTGGGATTATAAGTGTATGCCACCCAGCCTGGCTTCTCTTAATTGTTTTTTTGTTGTTATTGTTATTTTGTTTTTTTGCAATACCATGAATCCTGGGCCTTTGCTACATCCCTAGCCTGATTTTTTTTTTTTTGGTACCAGGGATCAAACTCTGGTGCTTGCGCTCATGGGGCAGGCAGCTGAACCACTGAGCTAAATCCCCAGCTGTCTTCCTTATTAAGAGAAATCATTATCGCCGGGGATTTAGCTCAGTGGTTTCGCCGCCTGCTGGGCAAGCACAAGGCCCCGAGTTTGATCCCCAGTACCAAAAAAAAAAGAGAAATCATTATCAGTTTGTGGTAGCAACAAAAATGATCCCATTATAGTTGCACTTATCACTCATAGTGCAGTGTCCAAATGTGACAGTATCTGCCATTCTCTTGGAAAAAGATTTTAGTGGCATCCACTGGGGAATCCTGACAATAAGAGTCTGTTGGAAGTGGTGTGGGAGAAAAAGTAGATATAGGAGGGTCAATTGTCCTAGAGGCTCCTTCCCCATGCTTTGCTAGGACCTGGAGAATATGCCTGAGCTGAGGGGTTTTTTTTCAAGTGTTTAAAAAAATAAGAACAGAAAAACCAAACAAAAATGAAATATTAGCGTAACAATACTACTGGTAACAGTTTGGAAGAAAAAAATTTACCCACAATCTTTCAAAATTACTTTAGCTCTAGTATTACTTTATTTTCTTCCAGATAATCCCATCTTTTTGCACAGTTGTAGTCAAAGCGTACTTGCACAGAGAAGCTGTTGCTGGGGCTCATTGCATGCTGGAAGCCCTGTCAGTGGCTGTTGGTAGAACAGACCTTTTCCTGTTTTGCACTGACGTTCAGGCACAGCAGAGCCTAAGATAACATCCCTTGAGAGAAACTAGCTCTCCTCCATTCTCACACATCCCACACTCCCATCTTATTACTCTTGTTGAAGAAGAATCTATGCCTAAGAGAGCCAAAGCAGTTGCTAGCGGCTGCAGTTTTCTTTAAGAGGAGCATGATGTACTTAGGTGGTAGATAAGGCTAGGTCATGTTGTGTAGCTTTAATTGTGTATTAAGCAAAGATGAGCTATTCACAAGGCAGAATTTATACTTATCTATCATACATTGTTCAGTGTTGCCATTTGTTTAGTGATAGCTTTTGCAGTCTATCTCTGATACATAATGTGTACTCATTTCCTTTGATTGCTGGAATTTTGCTTGCTTTTGCTTCATGAGTTGGAAGAATACTGGAAGAGGGCTTTAATCCCCATTTTAAATACCTGTTGCTGATTTGTTTTGTTTACTGTTTGGATATTGACTTTATCTTTTTACAGAGGAGAAGGCCAATTTAGAGAATAAGTTTCTTGGGAAAAATGGGACAGGAGAGCTTTTTCAGAACAAAACTTCCTTGAGAAAAGCAAATCTTCAGCAAGCTAGTCTCACACCTTTGCGACCAGGTAAGAAAGAAAATCGTAGAAAAAAGCTCCTTGACAGAAAGGTGGGGCAGTATATTAGGAGCCTGAAGAGCTGGGGAAATTACCTAAATGCTCTCTCTCTTGGTAGAATGGGCTAATTTCATTTCACAATGAATATAAAGCTAACCATGTGGTATGTTTTTATAAAAAATATTTGTTGAAACTTAAGCTAATATAGAATTTTATTGCTAAGTACATAAATGTTGTCCTTTTTTTTAAGTATTGGGGATTGAATCCAGGGCCTTTACACTGAGCTGCACCCCAGCCTTTTTAGAGTTTCGAGAGCATCATAGTAGTTCTTTTAAAAAAATTTTTAATTGACATATAAGTGAACATATTTATAGGATAGGGTGTGATAATTTGATACATGTATGCAATGTATAAGCAAAGTAGGTTTTCTTTGGGATGTGAGTGCTAATATTTGGTTTCCCACAGTTGAGAACACTTACTACAAAGAGGCAGAAAAAGTAAATCTTACGGAACATTCTGATTCATCAAATGCTTGTTGCACCCTGGAAGTTGAGGGAACCAAATCAAGAAATGCTCCAGCCCAGCCTCAGAGGTAAGACTGTTTTGGGCCTCAAAAGGTTCTTTTCATAATAATAATGTTAAAAACCCAAAAACTTGATGCAAGTGATGAAGCAAAGCAGTATGATTGATGTTGTGATACTGTAAACGCTTTCTCATGCTTCAACAAAATCTGCCTTGATAGAACAGTCCTTCCTACGGGTCTATAACTATGGGAGACTCTTTATAATATCTTATTTAACACTTCAGAGCTGTGGGCTATTAGCTTGATTTATAGATAAGGGCTCAGAAATAAGGTGCTTGGTCATGGCAAGTTCATTTCAGAGTCAGGATTCAAATACTAATCAGTCTGTATAATTGTTACATCTTCCTAACGTCAAATGTCTCTCTTTGTTCTTTAGGTTTACTTTTTTTTTTTTTTTTTTTTGAGATGGGGGTCTTTCTTTCCTCCCTAGGCTGGCTTCAAATCCTGGGCTCAAGTGGTCCTTAGGCCTGAACTTCCTGAGCAAATGGGACTGCAGGCACTTTCCTCCTTGCCTGGTGTTCAGTATTACTTAAGCTTTCTCATGGTTATGTTTGTATAGTCTTTTTTCTCCCTTTTTTTGCCTTTTCTCCTTTTCCCTTTCTCCTATTTTTGCCTTTTATTTATTATTACTATTATTATTATTATTATTTTTTTTTTTTTTACCGGGGATCGAACTCGGGACCTTGCGCTTGCGAGGCAGGCTCTGGAACCACTGAGCTAAAGCCCCAGCCCTATTTTTTCTTTTTCTTTTTCTTTTTATTTTTTGTGGTGCTGGAGATTGAATCCAAGACCTCATGGAAGCTAATCACACATTCTACCACTCAGTTATGCACCTAGTCCTGCCTTTGATTTTCTTTTTTTGCTTGTGTTTGGTACCAGGGCTCAAACTCCTGACCAACCTTGAGCTCGGCGGAACCACTGAGCTAAATCCCCTGCCCTGATTTTCTTTTTTTTGTTGAGACAGGCTCTCAATTTGTAGTTCAGGCTGGCCTTAAATGTACTACATAGCCCAGGCTGACCTTGAACTTGCTACACTCCTCCTGCCTCAGTCTCCCAAGTGCTAGGATTATAGACCTGTGCCACCGTGCTCAGATTGCCTTTGATTTTGATGTGGATCTTTTACAGATAGTATGTAGTGGGATCTTGCTTTTTTTCTTTTTCTTTTTCTTTTCTTTTCTTTCTTTTTTTTTTTTTGATACAGGGTCTCTCTGTGTAGTTAAGGCTGGTAGGCTGGTCTTGAACTTACTATGTAGCCCAACCTGGCCTTGAACTCAAAGTGATCCTCCTGCCTCAGCCTCCCAAGTTCTGGGAGTATAGGCATGCACCACCATGTCTGGCTTAAATTTACAGATTCTCCTCCTCTCCCCTC